GCTTCCTGGTTGACACAAGGTGAGCATCTTTCCTCCCTGTGCCTTCCCACCATGTTTCTGCCTTGCCACAGGCCGAAGATTAATGGAGCCAGATGAACATGGACTGGAATCTCTGAAACCATGAGCCCAAATAAACCTTCCTTCCTTCCTTCATCGCAGGTGCTTGTCACGTGACAGAAGGTTGGCACCCTGACCTTGGGTTGGCTCTCCAGAAGCTGCTGGTTGTATTCTGTGCTGATTATCTTCTAATGTATCGCTTTGTGCACATCTACTAAACATTAACACCCAGATCTTTGCCTGTGACCAGTTTCCAGTACTCCTTCCAAATTTACTTGTCTTCTCCTTTGGTTCATGGCCTCTGGGAAGAGAATGCAGCTCTTAACACCAGACTAGGGCCCATTTGCCTCCAGAATTCTGAGTGGTCTGAGGCCAATCACTGTGTCCAATGAGAAAATGGGAAATTCTACAAGATTCAGGAACTTGAAAGTATGACGACATAGAGTGCCTGTGGTACACAAACATTCTCATAATAGCTTATATTCTTGTATTACTTGGGCTGCCACAACCAGGGTGCTGTTCTGAGTGTCATCTGTATTAGCTCACTGATTCCCTTTGATGGCTCAAGGAAGGTGTCATTGATACCCCACTTTACAGGTACACTTAGGAACAACTGACCCAGGAACAGAGCTCCATGGACCCTATCAGTCAGTGTCTCTCCTCCTCCACCCCCAACACACACACACACACACACACACACACACACACACACACACACACCTGACCAGGCAGCACAAATGGAGGTACACAGTTCCTTGTCCCCTTTGGAGTAGCATGGCAGGCTGCCCCTTCATCTGGGCTGTTTGCACACTCTCCAATTCCAAAGTCCACTATCTGGATGGTTATGTTTCCCTAAAATTCATGTTGAAACCCAACCCCCAAACAGGATGGCACTGGGAGCAGAGGCTCTGGGCAGTGACTAGGTCAGCAGGGCAGAGCACTCACAAATGCTTTAAGAGGCCCCAGACCTGCTTGCCCTTTCCACCACATGAAGACGTAGAGAAATACCACCACCTATGGACCAGGCAATGGGCACTCACCAGACGCTGCTCTGCTGGCACCTTAATCCTGAACCTCCAGAACCGAGAGAAATGAGTGTCTATTGCTTGTAAGCCAACTGGTTTGTGACACTGTCATAGCAGCCTTAAAGCCTAAGATAAAAGGCTGTCAGAGCTCCAAGCAAGAGTCTAGGTCATAGAGACTGACGTTAGGGCCCTGATTTCTTGGAGTCCCGTGACAGGGGGTTGGGCCTGTGAGGCCATATATCTTCAAGCATTGCACATCCTTGTCCATCTTTCCAGGCATGTGGACTCTCGTCAATGGTCCGCTCTGCCCTGGGGCATGGTTATCCGGTTTCTCTTGGCCTTCAGCCTGGTTTCCCTTCCACTTATCTTGTCCACAGCTTGAACCGGTCACAGTGATGTGCCAGCTCAGTTCTGGGGCCCTAGCTGACCATAGGGTCTGCCTCTCCAGTGTGGTCTGCAGGCCAGGACTCTCCCAGGCTACTGAGCTGCATCAGTATGAGGGGTGAGCCTGCTGGGTAGTGTGAGGGAGGGCTCCCGTATGGTCTGGTGTCTACAAGGAAGAACAAGGAATTCTCTACAAAGTGCTGCTAAGCATCCCAGATCCAAAAATAGACCAAGAGCAGAGCCACTCAGTCATATTCTCAGGCAGGACCCAGATCCAAAAATAGACCAAGAGCAGAGCCACTCAGTCATATTCTCAGGCAGGACCTGTTCAGCTCAAGTAGTCTGACCTGTCCCACTCAGAGGTCTCTCAGTCAGGGGTCTCTCAGTCAAAAGTCTCCAGCCAGGTGTGGCTTTAGAATAAACAAAAATTCAGGCTTTCAAGCACATGCCCACCCATTTCCCATGCTGACGACTGGGTGATTCATGAAAATCTGGCTGTCACCATGCCCTGGCCAGCCCTGCGGCAAGGCATTCTGGAAACTGAGCCACCATGAGGTAGTCCCGGGCCACTGCTCAGTAACTCTCTGGGTTGGTTTTCTTTCTTCTCTGGAAGGACCCAGGACTTCAGTATTTTCAGATTGCCTTGTGATGGAGACCACTATGAAGCAGACCTGAGCAGGACTTAACCAACTGGTTTTTCATGTTCACTTGTGAATCTGTCCAAGGCCTAGGCTCCTTGTCTGGAAATGGCAGAACCATAGTAAGTGAACCTCTGTGCGTCACTAATCCCTACTAAAACCTGTGGTGGTGATGAAGCTAGAAAGCTTCAGTGGATAAGACAAGATCACAGCTAAGGACACCTGCATCCAATCTCAGCTAGATAAAGACTATAGCCTCAGGCATCTCACTCTTGGGTGGATTAACTTAATTCTTATTAAGGATTAATTTAATACCTTCCTTGGAGAAGTCCTTGAGTGATTCTACCCTTCTTGAATACTCCCCTCCCTACTTCTGATAACCAAATAAATACAGGCCACCCAGAGAAGGTCTTGGTCTTAGCCCTAAAAGAATCTCAAGTTCTGAGATTCTTTCATCCTCCTGAAATCATTCCACTCGCCTCTTTTTATTTAGCCTTCACTACACACTTGTTCGGGAGATTGCAGACCTGCTCAGCCCGCAATAACTAAGGGATATTATTAACCTGATACCTTGACATCAGACATGTTATTTATAGCAGACACTTGCTGAGCACCTCCCATGTGCCAGACGCTGCTTGATGCTAGACACAGACCAGGTTTTCCCGAGAATGCAGGCGACTCTCTGGACTTGCTTGCCGCTGTGCCATGGAGTGATGGCCATCTGACTGCCTAACACTCACATGCCCCTCAAAAATTACCCAGTAATCATTAAGATCTATTAAAATTGTACTGATCAGCAGCATTTTGTAACTCACTGGAGGAAACACTCCCACAAAACTCACAGCGCAGCTGTGAAAACTCAATACTGCTCCAGAGCCTGAGAGAGCTGACCTGGGGCTGACGCTAGAAAGATGTGTGGCCCAGTGTGTAACCCTGCTCTCTGGAGAGGGATCAGGGAGAAGCTCCCAAGGGGCCCAGCTGCCTGCACTCTGGGCTGAGGTCAGCACCATGAGGCCTCTCAGCGCTCGGTAGCCAAGGGATAGCTCAGCTCCTCGGTGTCCAGCGCTGGCTTCTTGAGGAACAAAGGGGCGTTTTACTTGTGCATACTTTCCTCAGTACTTTCTTCTCTTGGCTTCAAGTACTAATCACAGCAGTAGGAATTCTATCAATCATGTCCCTTTTCTAAACACATGGCTCATTTTGGAAATGCCACTGGCTCAGCTTCTCTGTCCAAGAATTCAGAAGCTTGTCTCCTCTCTCTAGAGGTCCCGAGGCCCAGGAAAGGCTGCAAGTGTCCTACTCAGATGGAGCAAAGAAGGGGGTACCCACCCACCACAGGAGCAAACGGCAAGGGCAGGGAAAGGGGGTGTTTTTTCAAGTCCTTGCCCAAACTCAGCTTGAACACCAAAGCAGTGTTTACTCCTGTCACCTCCCAGGCTCCAAGGCTCCAGAGCCAGACCCCTACCACCAGATGGCTGGCAGGCCGCAGCTTAGAAAGGGCTGGATTTCATGTGTTCTCACTTAGTAAGCGGAACAAGGACCCCTCAAAACACTTAGTTAGCAGAAACTATTCTCCAAATAAAGCACTGCTATAGTGTGGGGTGGGGGGGTCACCCACTGCTGCCTGCCCCCATCACAGGCCCTTTTTCAGCTTACTAGAGGTTGGATGGGGGTTGGGTGGGGGCTGCCATCTTGGCCAGCAGAAGCACAGCTGCTGTTGACTGGCTAGGGGTGGGACCTGACAGGTCATCAGTCAGGAGCCTTCCCCAAGTGCTCAAGCAGCCCTCTGGAAGGAAGGTGTGACACCAGAGAGAGAAAGCATGCATCAACAGGCAGCACACCCAGTCAAGGGTACTTTCACCAAGCGCTGACCCTTCCTGACGGTTCAACTACGGTGAAGGAAAAAGGTGGAAATTCTTGGCCTCATGGTTTTGAGGAAGCTGTAAGGACTGTGTGAAGGCGAAGGGAAGAATCATAGCCCCAGACATCCACAGCATGCACAGGTGCACAAGCACGCACACACCCCTCCTAGCTGGTTGGACTGCACAAGTCCAAACTCCTCAGGCCAACAGAGCCTTCCAGGCTCACAGCCTTGGTCTAGCCCACAGTGCCAGCTGCTCTACAGCAGCGTTCCTTGCTTCACCGTGGAACATTATTCCTTCCTGCTGACAACCAGAAAGCCAAGAACCCAAAGGCATCGGAGTCCAAACTCCTTTCTAGGCCATGAGGAAGCCAAGTGTGGGCAGGTCTTGGGCTAAGGAACAGTCTTCACTGCTAGGATGATATGAAATAGAAATCTTTGTGAGCTAGGGTCTCGCTATGTAGTTGAGACTAGCTCTTAACTCACTAGGCAGCCCAGGCTGGTTTCAAACTCTCTGCAGTCCTCCCTCCTCAACCTCCCAAATACTGGGATCGCAGGCATGCACATCAGGCAGTAATCTTTACTTTTTTTTTTTAGAGCTATTATCAATTACTTACCTATTTAATAAAGAAAAAAAATAACCCTTTTTCCTCATAGATGTTACCTTCCTCTTTGATATGGACCAACGTATGCACCTCCCATGTAGAAGCATCTCTCTAAAGTCTCTAATCAGTTAACCTAACTCTTTAGGCCACGGGTCTGTGACAGCTGCTCTGGTAAGGCTGGAGACCACAAGGCCCGCTGTGCAAGGAGGGCAGCAAGGCCCAGCCCACACGCAGAGGGCAGAACCACGGCCAGGTCTTCAGAGTGCTGCATGGGACACCTGCACGTGCCAGTCATCCAAAGCTGCTTCCAGAAAACAGCACAGCAGGTGTTCACTATGCCGACAGACATGGTTCTGTGTGCGCGCACACACACACACACACACACACACAGAGAGAGAGGCTTTTAGCAATTAGAACGCTCACCCAGAAGTACAAGAACGAAAACCACCCTGCATATTTATTTTACTGGAAACAAGGACAAAGGCTGGTCCAGTCAGAGATGACAGCACACCCTGGTGGCTCTGGCAGCCTCTTCCCTCCCTCCTTCGGTGGGCCAGGCCCTAACTTCCAGTGATGTCCACAGGCCTCTAAAGCCATTCGCCACTGTCCTCCAGGCTGACTGGCATGCTGCACAGGGCCGTGCGTACGGCTGGCCGGGTCTCACTGGACATCATCATCATCAAAGAGATCTTCAAAATCTGCAGACAGAATCAGGCATTAACAGGCACAGGGCAATAGGAACTACTTCACAATGAGTTCTACAGTAGCTCAAGACAGAGAACAGTGAACAGCGCAGTGGGAAAAGGACCCCCCCCCCCAATGACAAGACAGCTTTATCCAGGCAGGGCGCACAGACAAAACCTCAGGGCACAGCGTTCTCTACGTTGTTTTCATTCACAAGACAATCCTCAGAAAAAGCACACTGGGTGCTGTGCACATGGGGACAATCACCTCGCAGCCATGCTGAGCTGGGGACATGCTGGTGCCCACTCTGCACCATGAGAGTGAAAGTGACAGGGAGCTGGGGACGGCAGCAGAAGGACCAAGCTGCTGAGAACCACTCTTCAGGAAGCCTGGCCAAGCTGAGCTTCCCACCCACAGACCGGGCCTGCTCCTGCTGGAGGATGTACGGCAAATACAGGATGCCCGGCTCTGGGTAACTTCCACTCATCTTCCAAGTTCCAGACCACAAGTCACTTCCACAATGGGCAAAGAACAAGCCAGCCCCACCCTTTGGGGCAGTGCACTGAAAATGTGAAGTGCCACCTCCTGAGTGATGCCACAGAACAGACGGGGAGGAGCCTCCGGGAGCCCCACACCTGGCTTATGGAGAAGGGTGAAGTCCCTAACACGTCTCTGGCCACCGAGAGGGACTGCTCCACATCCTGGCCGCCGCCTGGCCTCCACTGTGGTGCTGCTGCTCAGAGCCTGTCCCATCTGGTTCCCAGTCCGGAGAACCCCTTCACACCCAAACCTCTACGCCTGTCACCTCTGTGATGTGCTCCAGGCATACTCCCACAAAGCCTGCCAGCACTCTGGTGGGCCCGGCCCACCTGAAGCCTTGTCCAAATCCTCCCATACTTCGTCAAACAGCAGCGAAAGACAGCACTAGAACGCCCTGCCCAGCCCCTAAAGCCCATCTGTCTGGTTAACCAAAAGGCCTGGCAGAAGCCCCCGAGAAGCCCACAAACGCCTGTCTTGGCTTCCCGAGCGCCCAGGGTAGGCATAGCCTGTGGGACACCGGGCACATGCTCCCGAGCTCAGTGGGCATGCAGGAGTGGGCAGAGGCCCTCTCTGTTGCTCCATGCCAGCATGACTCACAGGGAGAGCTTGTGTGGTTAAGGGCTGGGTCTCTCTCAGACACCTTTCTCCTCAGAAGAGGGCTGTCCCCGGAACACCCTGATCACATCTAATCCAACGGGCCAGCAGAGGACAAATGGGACTGAAGATCATCAAAATGCATGTGACCACATGCCAGCACTAAGAATGAAACCACCGTGGGGTGAGGGCCTCCCAAGACACCCTGTGTGAGCTGCCACTCTCATCAAGGCAGCCTTGGAGAGCACCTCTGCACCGCTTGCTCCCATACAGTTTACAGAAAGGCTACTGGGACCTCAAGGGCTGGCTTCAATGTCACTCTCCGCACCCCGCTTCAGACACCAGCTGGAGGCCTCTAGGATCGTGCCTTAGAGGAGTAGCCAGGCCCGCAGGAAAGGCCGCACCCTAAGTCAGCAGCCCACCTTCTTTTCAGGGCAATGGCTGCCGGGGCATTAGCCTGAAAAACCAGCGTGGACCTGGGCTTCAGGGCTGTTTGGTAAGTTAGAAACCAACTTAGCAAGATCAAGTCTCAGCTGCTTCCGACAAGTAACAAAAGTTCTTTGTAGGAGAAAACACTGTGTGATTAAAGCAGGGCAGGAAAGGGAGGAAAACACCATTTAGTCTTTGAGTAAGAAATATATCTAGTGTTTCCACTTACTGTTTGAACCCTAAGTGAGGAAGTGAGAGTTAAATAACCTGCGGGGATAAGGCACTCAACAATCAGAAAGCCAGAAACGTGCCCTACTGTCTCTGAAGATGTATACAAAAGTTAGGTTTGCACTGTGTATTGAGTAAAACTTCCCTCATGTTCTTGGTACCTGGTCTGAAAGCCCTTAAATTTGAGAAGGAAGCATATCCTGTACCCTGACTTCAGAGACAGGAAGGGCTGAAGCCAGAGCATGCATGTTATTCCACAAAGACAGTGGAGGCAAAAGATCCAGCTGGAGAAAAACAGGTGTGGGCCCGGTAAAGGAAGGAAACAAAAGCAGCCATCAGGAGAGAGCAGACCAGAGAGCCAGGCTGGCTCCTACTCCCAGGTCGGGGAAACAACCAGGATCCTGCCATAATCTCAGGTGTCCATGAGCTTGTGCTAAAGCCACTCAAACTCAACCTCTGCAACATGAAACAGGGAGCAATTTCATGTTAATTTTCTTCTGAAAAATAGGGCTGATTGCCAGAGCTAACCGCCTTGTCACTCTCTGCACTGAAACGGCACAGGGCCTGGGCTTCACCGTGCCGTGATCCAAATTATTCATGTCACACAGTTGCCCCACTGCGCCAACCTGCAGAAGAAACTGTCTGACTAAACCCAGCAGCCCCAGTCCCTGTGTCCTTACCATTAAAAAAGTCTGCATGAACTGCTTTTTCATTGGCTGCCAAGTCCATCAAGAGCCCAGTGCTGCCTCCCGCCTGCAAAATGAAAGACAAGGTTACATCAGGAATGTTTTCTGCAAATAGGAGGTGAGTTCATCACAGCGTCAGCCCCACCTCCACCGAACAGGATGCTGGGTGATGGGAAATGTGCTCCAGGCGGTGTCAGAATTTCAGTTCCAGACAAAGAAGGTGTGTGCGAAGAACGAGTCTGAGGAATTATTTTTAAGGTCTCTCAAGGTCTCAAGTGGAGCGTTCCAACTCCCTCCTGGCACTGCCTCAAAGGCCACAAACATGTGCAACAGCCAGCATGACTTCTCTGCTCCTGCCACCAGCCCACCTTCTCCTGAGGACACAACCACTTCCCTGGGGACCTTGACCTGCCCCGGCCCTGCGGTTTGGGGCGGGAGGTGCTGCCATCACAGAACCCTCCACCGCCAAAACTCTTCAGCAGTGGTAAAATCAGGCCATGACCAAAGCTGGCGGATCCTATGCGCTCAAACTCTGCACCTACTTAGACTCACCCAGGGATGGCTGGAGCAGTCTCCAGTGGCAGTGCCCTGGTCGGCTGGGCACAGGCCCCTGCTTCTGCCCGGGCCCCTACATCCTCAGGGCTGCTTGCTCCACCCTTCTCTGGTTCTCAAGAACAAGCACCTCGTGTCCCCTCTCAAGGCTGCCCTCGGGATTCCTAGACTCGTCCCTTCCCGTGTCCCTCCCCACCCCCATCCCCACAGTAAGCCAGGCACATTCTCTCACTTAAACCCTGGCTTGAATTCCTCCCTGCTCCAGCCGACTCACTCAGACCCTCAAGTCTCCCTTCTCTCCGTTTCCATTTTCCTCGTCTTTCACCCCAACCCCCACCTCCAAGCCCCCCAAGTGACCATCCTACATTGCAAACTACAGTGTCTTTCTGCATGGAAATGCCCTCCAGTGACCCCACGCTGCCTACCACAGGAACTTTGAACAGGACGGAGAAGCCGGGACAGTGCCTCGAGGGTGGGACTCACAGAAGCACCCCTTCTGCACCCTCAGTGGGCATCAGCCCGCAGGGGTCTGCTCCTGCCAGGGTTTTCTCCTTCGTCCTTGTCCACACAGCAGCACCAACGCACTACCCAGCACGCGGCTGCAGAGGCAGCTCAGCTGCTCTCCCCAGCCCAGGCTGAGCCCCCGCGCCAGAGGCTGCCTCGCAGATGCCTACCTCTCTACTACGCTCAGCAGGCGCGCTCAGTCTCTCTCTGCCATCCCCAACCTCCCTAAGGGCAGGGGCCGCGTCTGTCCATCTTGTGCCCGCTAACTTTGAAAAGCAGAACGTGTGCTCCGACGTCCCACAGCTGGCCTGACGGCCCAAGCCGGGCTGCGGCGTCCCTGCGCGGACCCGGACCGCGGGCGGATCGCCCCGTTAGACAAGCTCAGCCTGCGACCGCGCGGGATGAGCCCAGCGCAGCAGGGCTACTCCACGCTCCGCACAGCGCGCGGAGAGGAGCCAGACCACGGCGAGAGCAGGTAAGGCCGAGAAGCCGCTCCACTCGAAGAAGACGGGCGCTGGCGCTGCCCCTTGCCCCGCTGGCCGCCGCGCTCCTGGCCTCCCTTCTTCTGGATAAAGGTTACGGGGCGGCCCGACCCGACAGCGGCCGGCGGCCGAGCAGCACCCACCCGGGGCCGGGGCCCCGCGCAGGCCCCACGCCAGCCTGGGCTGTCGGAGCCCGCGGCCCGCGCGGCGCCGCCCCACCCCCGGCCAGGACGCGGCTCCTCCGAGGACCGGGTCCCCGCCGGTATCCGGGCCCGGCGGCCCAGCTGACCCGGAAGGCCCCGCAGCGGGACCCGCACTCCGGGGCGGGCCCCGGACGCCGCCATCGCCCACTCCTCGCTCGGCCACCGCCCCCTGCCCGCCTCACCTCGTCCAGGTCCACGTAGGGCCCGGCTCCCTCGGGGAACATCTCGTCCACGGCCGGCTTCATTTCGGGCCGCGGATCCACACCCACTTCCGGCCCTCGGCGTTCACTTCCGGCGCTCGCCCGCCCGCCCGGCAGGTTTGGGCCTCGGAGGACCGCGACTCGGTGGTGCCCCGCCGCGGGACAGGGACCGCGGAGCCCGGCTGGCTCCCGCGTGGCTGCGCCGCAGCGACGGCCACGGCTGCCGCTAACCCAGGGCCAGGTGGGAAGCTCGGGAAAGCACGCCACTTCTGGACCACACCGAAAGAATGGAAATCGGGGGAGGAGGTGCTGGCGCCCCCGGCTCGCCGCGCGCCGCTCACTACAGCCGAAGGCTGCGCCGCCCGGGCCTGGGTGGGTGCGCGGGCGCACGGGCTCGCGCCGGCCGTGCCGCAGTGCCCAGGGCCTCCTGACCCGGGGCGGAGCGGGGCCTTGCGGCAGCTCGGTGAAGCAGTCAACCTGTGTGATCCGCCGCCGCAGCCGCCCGGGGGCCCGGGCCGGGAGTGTCCAGCGGGGTTAGCGGTCCCCGTTATCGGAGCTCGTCCGCAGGGTGACGGGGTTGCGGAGATGGATGGGGCCGCGGCAGCGACAGCGCGGTGTGCTTACTGCCGCCTAAATAAGGCTAAGGCGGACTTTTATGTTGCACTACTTCACAATACTTTTTACAAGTACGGATAAGAAGTGCGGAGGAGAGGGGAGGGGAGAGGAAGAGTCAGGGAGGGCTGGAGCCCGAGACACGCTTTCTGGGTACCGGCCTGTCTCCGGCCCTGAGCCCAGGCCACCTGCCCGTCCTTGCAGGCGGAGCGTTAGCCCAGCGCCCTCCGGGACGCCCTACCCCGGAGATCGGATCCCCTCTGCCGTCCCAGGTGATGTCGCGCACGGTCCGCCTTCCGCAAGGGGCTGGTTCATCAGGACCACCCTGCCCGGCCAGGCTGCCCTGAGTCACTGAGCCGCTGTCCACCCTGCCCCACCCTTCGGTCGTCCTCCGCTGCCGAGCTGTGGGGGCTGAGCCCAGTCTCCTCCGCCACAAGGCCTATCCCGGTGGTCCCGAGTGGATCTTCCTGACCCGGCTTTACCGGGGCCCTTGAGCCTCGCTTTCTGTCACAGCTTTGAGAAGGAGGTGCGCTTGGGTCTGGGCCGCTGGAAGGGAGAGTGGTGCTGAGGGCGAGGGCCGCTGCAGGTGGGCAGGGGCAGCCTGGCTGAGCGGCAGTGCAGGGCACAGGGAGAGGAGAGAGCGAGCACTCGGGCCGAGGGTCAGGTGCCAGGTCTGTGCGTGTTCCCGGGGCACTAAGGGAGGTCAGACCCGTGGAACCGAAGGGCCGGCAGCCACGAAGAGCTGCCCATGCAGTCAGTTGCTTCCCAGCAGCAGGTGCGGGTCAGGGTCGCCAGTGTCCCCTCCGTGTGGGGTGGCGGTCACCACCTGCTCAGAGCCTGCACCAACACATTCTCACTCCTGCAGGACAGCCGGGTGACAGCCCGGCCCTGCGTCTCCCCTTCTGCTCCTCCCAGAGGTGAGCTGTGCTGAAGTGTGGACGCCTGGCCCAGAGTGACTACTGTCCACTTCCGTGGCCTTGGGCCAGGCTGCCTAGACTGGAGCTGCCTCCTCCAGCCAGCTTTGTGGCTGTAGCTAGTCAGCCTCACTTTCCTCACTGCAGTCTCTGCCTCAGTTTCCTCGCTACAACCTGGGGGAACCACAGGCCCTCCCCAGGGTCATCACAAGAACAGTGTGAGAGGTGTGTGGATGCCTCGTGGACTGAAACTGCGCACGTTTATTGAAGGCATATTCACCAGCAACCAGAGTCACGCGGGTTCTCTCGTGAAGTAGTGGAGGGGCTGTGCACAGCTGTTTTAAAGAAACCCACAGGTCTGCTGGAGCTCGCTGGGCACGGGCCAGCCCTCACCAGTGGCCCTGGTGACTCCGGACCTGCCCTGGGGCATGGCCAGTGCCACTCAGTCCTCCTGGTAAGGGACGTGGAAGCCCAGGGTGCTCCCCAGGGGGAAGTGTGCGAAGAAGGTGCGGGCCAGGTCCTCCAGCTGGGGGTAGGCACCCTGGGTCTGGAGGTACTGCACGTAGTTCCAGAAGTCAGAGGTGGAAAAAGGCCAGTAGGGCATGGCTGGCGGCTCAGCGTAGGGGTCTGAAAGACACGGGATGCTGCCTCAGGGGCTGTCCCCACCGCCCTGCCGGAGCGGGCCCTCCAAGGACTGGGCGCAGGTGCGTGGCAGCCGCAGTGCCTGTGGTGATGTGACCTTCCTGGCTCGGAGCAGGGGCATCCGGGGCATCCCCGGAACAGAGAGAGGCAGTGTCCTGAGAAACGGGAAGAAGCAAAGGAAGGGGCGAGAGGAGGGGGAGGCCTGGCCTTTCCAGAGAGATGCTGACCAGGGACGCAGTGCTGTGAGGGAACCGGGGCTCAGGCAGCGTCCTGGTGGGCTTTCCGAGGACAGAGACCTGGAACTTGGACAAAAACTACTAGTGATACTGGACTGAGCTAGGGGTCCTGGGAGGCCCGGGGACGATCCAAGGCTGTGGGGGAGGATGTCAGGCTGCCCCTGCCCCTTGGCTCCCAGCAGGCACCGCTCAGCAGGCAGCCCGGCCCACGTCCCAGCTGGAAGCCCCGTCGTTTGTAAGTAGAAGGGCAGCGGGAGAACCCTTACCGTCCTCCTGCACTGGCTTGGCCCCTGGAAGAGAAGAGGAGCACTGTCACTTGGGGCCACCCCAGAAGGCCCTCAGGGCCCCCCACTCTGCAGCAGGAGGGGCTCATGCAGGAGGGAGGATAGCAGGGCTGTGGACACAGGGCGGCCTCTCACCTGTGAGCAACCCCAGCAGGAGGCACAGGGTCAGCCCTGGCACCATGCAGGCCTGCATCTTCCCCACGCACAGCACGCTTAGGCCCACCTGCAGCAGGGACCCAAAGGGCTGAGACCACTCGGCCCAGCCGGCCTCTCCTGCCTGCCCCAGCAGGTGACCCTCGGAAGGTGAGTGTGCTAGTGCCCTCCGTCTGTATCTGAGGGACACCCACACCCCCGTTGACCGCACTTACTTCTGACTCCTTAAAAGACTTCACTCTCACTGTGCCCGTCCACCCAGGGCACAGGCCTCACCCTCCAGAGTGGCTCGCCACAGTCACGCAGCCCAGTGTGCAGGGGAGGGCATCGCTGCCAGCGCTGAGCTGCTCTTTATAGGAAGCCAGGAAGGAAGCGTCACCCGCTTGAGCCGTCAGACTGAATATTTCAACCCCAGCCCAAGCCTGTGGGCTTCTGTCACCCTGCCGGCCGGCAGTCACGGGATTCACTTGTGGGAACCTGATCTGAAGATCCAGTGGAGAGAAAAACATCTCCACAGGCCACAGGCCAGGGCTGAAGGGTCTGAATTCAGCGTCCGTGTTTACAACAAACCCAGTTATTCTCCGCCAGGAGAGAATTTCTGAGTCTGACACTGGGGCCAGAGAGGAGCCAGTAACCCAGGGCTGCCTCAGGAGACAAGCAAGCAGGGATGCCCAGGGAAACTGCTGCAGCCCCTGGTCGGACCGGGCCCACGGGACGTCTGCTGAGCAGTCACAGGCAGGAAGCGAGGGCCGGCCTGACCCTGTCTCCAGGCCAGAGCTCCGCAGCCCACACGGCCTCCTGAGGTCTGTCATGGACCAGGTCATGATCTCAGCCCCAGGGGCACCAGCACCCAGACCAGCTACACTGCTGTGCCAGTGCTCACCTGGATGTGGCCTCGTGGCCCTCCACTGAGGCTCCCATCCCCCACCAAAGGCACCGAGTCCACGGTGGCTGTCTCTGCCGTCACTCCTGCTTCTAGGGCTCCTTGAAGTTGGGAAACGTCTCGCCTCTGTGCGCTGGGGTTCTGTAGCGCAGAGAACCCAGCTTTACCCTCATCCCCTCCTGTGTTCCCATCCCAGTGAGCAAGGACTCATTCTTTCCCACACAGCGCCCAAAATTCTACCGAAGACCCAGAGAGGTTCTACGTTCGGTTTGCATCGTAAGGCAGCCACCCACCAGATGGGACTCAGGGTTTCGTTTCCAGAAATCTGACCCCTGTGGCTTCCTTTGGGGCGGCTGCTTTGGGGTCCCCAAAACTACCCCAGCCCCATGACTCACTAGGAAAGTGCACAGTATAGGGCCCATGGCCACTGCTTACCACAAGAGATCTGCAATGGCCGGGGGACCTGGCCAACGCCTGGAGGAGCCAGCGAGGGCTCCCAGCATGCACTGTGAAAGGGCCCCAGGCAGTGGCTCCCTGTCCACCCTGATGGCTGCAGACCTCGGGTGATGGAATGCGCCTGTGATGCTGGAAAGCCTCATAACATGGCATGCTCTGTATCCGCATAACTATTTTCCCATAAAAGACAACTAGAAAAGGTCTAGGAATAATAACAGCAATGGTATGGGGGATTGAGTTTGTTTGCCTTTTGGTCTGGGTGTATGAATTTTCCCTACTTTATTACTTTTATGCAAGGAAAGAAACACTAAGAATAGTCCAACACCACCGGCAGCTCCTCTTTGTCTGCACTGCTCGCCCCGCTGAGTGGACCCAAGGACCCACACGGCCACGATGCACTCTCTCCCGCAGCCCTCCCGGAAGGCTCCAGGGCTCAGTGTCCCTGCTGGTGAGGGGCTCCTCCAGTTCTCAACCTTTAGGAGTCACCAGGGGGCCTGTTCAAACGCAGGTCCCCGTTCAAGGACCAGGGGCCAGGCCTGGGCAGCAAGGCCAGACAGAGTTTTAGCCTCGGCGGGGCTGGAAGTGTTCAGAGGACCCGGTACAACACAGATCCCTGCTGGCCCTGCTTCAAAAGCTCCGGTGGACCCAGGGATCTGCATTTCCGACACATTTCCTGCATGCCCAGCTTTTTACCCCGGTGGACATTTGCACCACCCGGGCGCTTTTGAATAACCCGGTGTTGAGCCTCCCGGGTGGGATTCTAACGTATGAGCCAGAGCAGGCCCACGTTCTGATGGGCTTCACACCTGTCCAGTGCCGCTCTGAAGGCTGGCTGGTCACCACTGCCTGGGCTCAGCCCCTGCTCTCCAGCCCCTGTCCCTGCCCCACGCAGAACCGTGTGGACGCCTTTGTGGCCAGGGAAGGGCCACCTGCCTGGGAGGGGGCGCCACCACAGTGCACAAGGCCAGCCCTGGCGGACAGAGAGACAGGATGGCCGTGGGCACCTCCAGCACTGGGCGATTAGGAGGTCTCTGCCGCCCCCTGCCGGCCTTCCCAGGACACCAGGCAAGGCCTGTCCCCGAGTGGGACAGCCCAGACCTGTGCCCCAGGAGCCTGTCCTGCTGCTCTGCGCTCCAGGGCACCGGCCCCGCTCCCAACACGAGCATAGACATTCCCTTGTAACTCCAAGTCCCGAGGCCCAGGGTCCTCCGGGACGCTGCTCCCGAGCACAGTGGCTCCTGCATCCTCCTTCCTGTCCCTGCTCCCGAGGTCACCTGCCCTTGATGTGCTCTGGACAGGCTGTGCTGCTCCCACGGCGTGACCTCTGTAGAGCCGGAGCTGAGTCTGGGACACCCCCTCCTGCCCCTGGAACATGTCCTGCGTCCGCACCGGGGCCTGGCTCGCTGCCTCCAGCCCCTGCCTGCCGGCCCGCGAGCTTCCGCAACCTTCACCGCCCTCTCGGTCTCCCAGCTCCGCACTCTGTGCCGTGTCCTCCACCCCACAGGCAACAAGGGCCTCCTGCCCTGCTTTGCTCCCAGCCTCCTGCCCGGATGTCCCAGGCCCGAGCAGCTCCTCGCTCGGTGGGCATGTGCCAACTGGACACACAGTGGGCAGAGTGGGCTGTCTGCCTTCAGCCGGTGAGCAGGGCTGAAACGCAGAGTCCCTTTCAGCTGTCACAGGTCGCATGGTGCCCACAGCCTCCACTGTGAGCAGCGTGGACCGCTGTCCTCCATGCCCCCCAGACCCCCTAGAGAAGTGGCCTGGGTCCCTTGGGAAGCACCGCTCTGCTCCCTCACGGGGAGGAACCTCGCTTAATGTCACCTGTGTTTATTCTCAAGCTCTCAGGTTCCCACCGTATTTGCTGTTTTAATCATATAACTTAGTCAAGTATCATGACATCTAAGGAACATGACAAGACTTTTGGATGAAAAGCGACTTGGAAAGAACCAGTGAAGGTGAAATTTGCCGAAAATGGCCACGTCAGACGTGGTGTGGCGACCTTGAAGGGCGGGAGGTGCAGTGGAAATCTGAAGACCTGAGGGGCTGCGGTCTGGGACACACACGCCCCGCTGCCTCTTGCTCTGTGTTTTGAGGAACCAGAACGGGGCATCAGGTCTGCGCATTACTGAGAGTGGGCTCCAGGGGGCGCCATGCTCAAGGCCAGCACTGCTGGGCCCTGTCCTGTTCAAATCAAGAAATAGGTGGTCAAAGAGAAGTCCCTGCCCCAATCACAAGCCTGGCCACTTAGGATCTGAAAGCTAGCGTGTTTAAACATATGGTTCTTTTTAAACAATCTCTCTCTTGAACTGATTTGTGAGAATTTCCAAGTAGGAACCAGTCTAGTCCAGGAGAGGGCGCTCCTGAATCGAGAGGGAACCTGGCCTGGGTGGGCTGAGCTGGCGCCCAGGGGAGGCCTGGCAGATACAGGATGCCCATTAGATTTGAACTTCAAATAATTAATACTTTTCTAGCCTGGTTTGCCTCACATACCATCAGGGATATGCTTATACCAAAACCTAATTCCTGTTTCACTGAAATCCCACTTTCACTGTATCTTCATTTGCTAAATCTGGCAAAGCTGTGCAAGACAGAGCCCAGAGGCCCTGCCCGGCCATGGCTCTGTTCCCAGGCCTGGCCACAACCCGAGGCTTCTGTCCAGCCTGGCAGTGAGAAGGGGCCCCTGCTCCCATCGACCACCCTCGCAGCCACAGCCCGAGGCACAGGGCAGACGCTCCTTTTCCTCGGTGCTTGCCCCCGGAGCCTCAAGGTCACACGCGGACAGGGCGACCAGGCTGAACAACCTGGTCAGTGAGCTGGAGGCCTGCTCACCAGGTCCAGAGGTTGTCCGACAGACTCTGCAGGCAGACCCTACTCCTCTGGATGGGGCCGGCCCAGGGTGGGGCTCCCAGGGATCCTTAACTCAGCAGGCCACGTCAGTGCTGATGTGGGCCCTGAGAGGTGTCCCAACCCCGTGGTGCTCCCCACCTGGATGCTGCGTCCACCGCCCTGAGACCCACCCTTCTTTCCAGAAGGGCTCCAAGGTCCAGAGTCCACTGCTGACTCCAGCTGGGGAGTTGCAGAGAAGAGGGCAGCTGGGGGTGGCACCAGACACAGGCCCCAGGGAAGGGGATGGCCAGGGCCCGTCCACCCCATGACTGGTCCCTGCACTCCAGGCTGGAGAACCTATTTCACACTAAGGTAGCCTCTAATCTGCTCCTCTGAACCCCAAGTGCTCTGCCCACCACATTTCCAGAAACACACTAGGGCGGGGCGAAGTGTGGAGAGAGATGGCTCTTCGCCCTGCGGGAAGGGAGTCCTGGATCCCCACCGTGGAGTCCTACGAGTGCGTTGTGTGGGTGGCTGAGGTCCCATGTGGGCCTGCCTGCTGTCTGTGCAGGACACTCTCCTGCCCCCGGGGTCTGATTGGTAGACAGGGCCTGGCCAAGCACCGCAGCACACTGCCCACTGGACTCCCGCCAGTGTAGCCTGATCCCTTCCTAGGTCGCAGTAGGGATGGACCCTGCACAGGGCGCGGTGCTTGCCGAGACGAGGATCTCTGCTGTTACCAGAGAAAGCCAGGTCTGTCACAGACCGGAGCACAATGCCACTGGCCTTCAGAGAGGCTGCAGAGTCCTCAGGTGGCATCCTCACCTGACAGCAGACCCGCTGCCCCCAGTGCCCCGGGGGGAAGGCGAGGTCGGCGCAGATCGCCCAAGCGCTTTCCAGGCTCGGGCACTGGGGGTTCTAGGCAGGTGGCCCTGAGTGGGAACCAAGCACATTTGTCCCCGCCAGGCAGAGACACTGGGGGGGAGGGTGCGGTATACCAGAGAAGTCCTCTGTGGACCCCGTCCTCCAGGGCCCAAGGCTCAGGAGCAGAGGGATCTGGGCAGATGGCCGGTGGAGTGCCCTGGGCTGGGGCGCTGCATCCTGGGGACTGGGAGACACGATTTGGGTGAAAGGTAGCTCTGCCCACACCGTGGGGCA